TGGGATAGGTCAAGGTGGTTAATCATATGTGGTGCTTTTGAGTGACTGGATTTGAGACAAGGGAAACACTCAATCGCAAAAATATAGATTAAAGGCCGAGAGTGATACAGCTTAAGGTACTGCCATGGAAAGAAATCTTTCTTTTTATACCATTTTATTTCTTCATGTCCCAATAGGGGTTGTAATGACCTTACTACAGATTCCTGAAGAAGCTAGGGAGCTAGATATGTTTTGGGACTGCATTTTTTATCAGTAAATTCATTCATTCACAAATTGATTATATGGAAAATTAGGATTCATGTAATGATGTCATTTAGCCCTAGCATTTCATGGTTAAACTACCCAAAAGCTCCTTAGTAACCAAGTCTAGTTACGCAAGTTCTCTTGAAAGTTCATGAAAACAGAGATAACGATGCCATGTTACATACTGACAATTAAAAACTGTGTTTACCCTTACTTGACCTAATGGTTTTAAACATTTCCAAGTAAGCAAGAGTTTAAGAGCAGATTGGCATCAAGTAACCCAATAATTGAGTGGTTGGATTTGTAAACCAGCAGCCAGCCTGTTAGCCTGATAAATCTTGTTGCATGACCATTTCAACTTTTTTGCTTAGGCAACCCCTACACACCAGCAAGAAGATTGAAAAGTTAGGCTTCTGCTTAGGCAATCCCAACAAGCCAACCTCAGCACTGAAAGCTAGACCGACAAACAATGGGTTGGATTAGTTCTCCTAGGCCACAAATTGGGGCTTGTTGGGTTTGTCAATCCCAACAAGCCAACCTCAGCATTAGGCAATTCCAACAATCCAGTTTCTACCACTGCCACTGAATATAAAATGATACAAAGTCAGCCTTCTTATAGCACAAAAGCATTTCGATGGGTTTGAGCTTTCCAAGGCATTTATTAGTTCCTTTACAAAGGCACAGTAATTCATCTAGTGTGTTTAGGTGGTGTGATAGAAGAATTCAATGGATGGAAAATGCTAAAACAAAACTGTCAGAGAAAGCAGCCGCAACAATTCAAATTTCAAACCGGACCTCACGCAACGCAGAGGAAACAAAGCAAACACCGAGTGACAGGCTGCAAATGACGTAAAAGCAAGCCAAACACAGCCAAGACAACCCAGTTTTCTATAATAGAAGCTGAAGCACAGCAGCACGGTAACACAGTAACACAGTTAACATGGAAAAAAAAAAACAAAAAATACCTTCTGCTAGGCTGCACACGGCCCAACCAAACTCAAAAGACAATCAATCTATGTATTATCCTGCTTGTTAAAGACACACAACACATAGAGATCAGAAAAACAACAAACTGTCGAACCAACTGAACGGGGCATATCAACAGAATGGAAGTGCACAAACATGGCCTTTTAGAGTAGACGCTTGCTGCCCTCATTTTTTCATCATGAAAGCCAGCCCCAAACCTTGCTAAACACATCGAGGATATCGCAGGTTGGTGTCGTACGTAGGTGGTGACACAACAAAATAAGAAGGCGTTCAATACCAGTCCTAAAGAGAGGAGCTTTATCTACCCTTTTTATTTGTATTGATAATGCAAGGTGGGGCTGGCTATTGCCACAATAAAAAACCACAGGAAAAGTCCAGAATAGCAGACACATAACTGCAACATGACCCTTGTGCAAACAACTGTAACAATAAAAAATGAATAACGTAAAAAAAAAACAGCCAGTGCCTGTATAAACCATTCTTGAACTTGTAGCCTAGCACAATGACCCAAGAAGCAAGACAGAAGACCAAGCAACAAATGAGGACACAACCACACATAAGAAGGAACAACAACAAAAGCAAACTGCAGCAAACAAACCAGCGGCGTAGCAAACATCAAGGGAGGCGCCCCAGAATGCAGGAAAATTAAAAGTTGTTAGAAGGGTTTTGATTAAATAAGTTGTTAAAATATACGTTGTAGATAATTCTAGCCGCGTTCTGCCACCGGATCGACTAATTTTTTTAAATGTAAAAAGAAAAATACTAAGTATGAAGAATTGTTTGGGCTGCGTTAGTAAACTTTGTTTAATGGTCATTTTTAAAACGTGATAATTTATTTTTTTAACTCGAGTTTTTAATTAAATAATATAGAAGTTATTCTAAATTAAATTAATTAATTTAATGCATTTAAATGCAATTTTAATGACCGAAAAAACATAATTTAGGTTTAAAAAAAAACTTCAAAATAATAACTTTTTAAAAAGCAATTATTGAAAAAAACAACAAATTACATCGATCTCAGTCCCTTAGCAACTTGTATTATGAATTTTATTGAGTTTAATAATTTTTTTATAAATTATTTTTAATTATATGATAAAAGATATATGGTCATAAAATTAAGTATCAACCTAAAAATAAAAACTTATTTGAGATAATGATAACCCTATAGAAACCAAATAAAAATAAATTATGCAGTTTATTTCTCAATCAGTCCAATATTAAATGATAAAATCAAGAAAAATAATTAAAGGTAAAAAAAAAAAAGCATATCTAACTAGTGAGTGAATTTGTTAAACCTATAAATTGGATAACACAAGCTAGCACGTAAAACATTTGATCAAGGTTATGGATTCTAGTGAGATTATAATTTATTTTTAAAATTATTTTTTATTTAATTATATAATAACATAAATAGACGATTGTAAAATCAAAAACCAATTCAATACTGAGATGTTGAAAAAAAAAAATTAAACTTGTCAAGTTTACAAACCAGATCAACTAGTCAAATCTATGAATATGTTCATAAACTTTATAAAGTTTAATGGCATGGTTTTTCTCTAAAACTATATTATTAATTTTTTACAATATGAGAAAACATAAAAGCAAAAAAAAAAGAAGTCAAGTTCAATAAGAGAGAGAAAGAGAAGGCACCCAAAAACTCACTTTGGCTTTGAAATTTTTTTCTTAAACAAAAATACAATTGAAAAAACTGAGACACAAATATAGATTAAAATATTTAATATTGCAATATGTATTATTTATCTGGTTGTATTTAATGAATGTATTGATTAAAATTATTTTGAAATAAAAATGGACACAAATGTAAGTTCTATTGAATAAAATAAAATGAAAATGCATGTTATACAAGGTTGCGCATATTAAAAATATTATAAGAAATAAATATTTTTTTTATAAAAATAAATTATATATATATAATATTAAAAAATTAAAAATGAATCATCTCTTCAAAATTTAAACATATCCAATATAATAAAAAATAATAATCATAATTTAAAAAATGATAAATAAGCAAAAAATAATAATAGAGAAGTAAAATTAAAAATTATTTAAAAAATAAAAACTATAAAAAAAAAATGAGGCTAAGTCAAGCATGGGCCCACTATAGTGGTGTTTAGAAAATCAAGGTTGCTGATTTTTTCTTCTAAAAAATTATTTTCAACTCAAAACATCTAGAAAATATTTTAATAATTTTGTTAAATCAATTCATAACCTCTAAAAGTACAAAAAAAAAAAACCGCTCTAAAAGTCAAAATCAATCTGAAACTCAATTTCTTTTTTAACTCAAAATGTTTTTAAGGTACTTTCAAGGTTTTAAAAAAAAAACTAGTTTAAACTCCTCATATAAAATAAAATAATTTAAAATAAAAATAATTGGAATTATAGAAATGATATTTTTATTTCTATATACCAGAATTTGCCATCTCTCTATCTCTTTCTCTCTCTCTCTCCTCATCTAATAAAGACTGAAAAATTATAAAAATAAAATTTATTACTAGAATTAATTTTTCTAGAATTAGAGGTACCAATCATATCTAATAGCTAAAAAAATAAAGTACTAGAGTGTTTTATTTAAACAAAATTGAAAGCCATAATTTATTTTACTCATATTGTCCGACTTTAAATTCAATTTTCTCTTTTAAAAAAGCATGCAATTAGAATGCTAGTTTAGGTTTTAAAAGGCTCAATCATACAAAACAAAAAAAAAAAAGTTTGACAATCAAATTTAAAATTTTAAAAAAAAAAATCACTTTTCAATCGACATGATATATGAGATGATGAATAATAATTTTTAATATTTAACTTTTTTTATAATAACATGAAAAGAAATAGAAATTATAAAAAAAAACTTCTAAGATTTCTAGTTTTGGGTTTGAGATCTATGTAAAATCCATCATCAACTTTTGTTATTAAACACGATTGAGTTTGAATTGTTTTTTTGGCTTAAAAACTTAATAAATCAATCTTAAACATATGATTTAGAGTTAGTTGCTCCATGATATATGATTTTAAACATGATTATTAAATCTGATTTAGAGGTATAGATTAAACTTTAATTGACTAATTTAAAATAAAAATTATTAAAAATATATTATTTTAATTTTGTTAAAAAATAGTTAATTTACCATATTGATTAAGTTGATTAAGTTATAAGTTGATTTATTAGGTTAACTCGAATCTTATTATTTATAAACCCAACCTGGGTTGGGAAATTGATTGGCCGAGTTTAATAAAATGATTTTTATTTATTTATGTGGGTGTCCGGGCCAGTTTGCGCGTACCATGACAATCCCACGGTCCACTAAATATCCTGCAAGTCCATTGAGCATGTAAAGTATTGCAGGGATGACAGTTGTGCACAATAAAATTCGAATCCGAGGAAACAAATTCCTCCCGTCACTGGATTAACCCTCAAGTGCATAGCATTGAAGGCTTGTACTGTCGGGTTGTTCAGTATATCATTGGTCAAAACATATTTATATGAATA